AAGCAGTCAAATGTTTCAACAAAATATATCTGAAAAACAAGTACATGTAAGCTGGGACAATATATATTGATTAAGTATAATAGTCCCAGGTGTAAGTAAAAATTTCGTCAATTTGAAAAACGTAGTACAGGAGTATTTATAAATGTTCATTTACCTGATATTCATATCGAAGTAAAGATTTAGTTTGCAAATCAATTTATTTTAAAACGGAGTAACAATTTTATAAATTAAAGAAATGTAAGGAAGGAGTATTTGAAATAGCCATTATATTTTTTTAAACTAACAATTTTTGGATGTTACAGAGTTGTTATAAACGCACTTTTGTGAATATGCGCCAATTGATTGGATTTTATTATATTGAACGCATCTTGATGTTTTTATTTAATTTATTGATATAATGTTATTCAATGATACAATCGATTCATTTATGATTTTAAATACAATAATTGCATTATCATGTTATAGGGCCAGTTAAGGCATATTTTTATATTTTTATAGTTTTGTATTTGATTTGATTGCACTGTTTAAACAGACGGAAAAGAGTAGAGGCAATGAGAAAGAATACTCGTACATGAGTGATAGGTTTCTTTGCCATTGGAGCCTTGGTTACGATATTGTACAGAGAAAAGCATAAAGGAGATTACATGATATCAAAAGGTAAAGATATGAGAATAGTATTGATTATTTCTGTTAAGGTACGGTGGGAGGTCAACATTGGATTTATGGTAAAGACGTGCAGCTGGGATTTCAAAAACACCCCTATCCTCCCTCCCCCTCCTTCCATTCGTATATTGAAGTCTTGTGTAAATCCAATACACAGATATATTTCATGGCGAAATCATTACCCATTCATATATTTCACAAACAAATGTTGATATCTTAATTTAATTTTAAAGGATAAATCAGCATACATACATATACAGATGTCTAACCGAAGGATGATGATTACTGACCCATTGACATTTACGTTGTCAAAATTGCAAGGCATTGATATATTTGACATATTTAAATAAAGGGCACATTACAGTGGTACGTCTGTACATACCTTCATATAGGAAGAGATCCCCGTGTGTTGAGGACGACTTGTCCAATTGTTAAGATTGATATCTTGCTATCACTTGGCGTTCGACGAATAGAATTTTTAATGTCGTGTCTGAAATAACTCATAATTCTGAACGGATTTAAGCGATATAGACCTGAATTATTCGCATGCAGGCGTCGACCATTTATCTTCTGTGGGAGGCATGGCTTTAACTAAATGTTAAAATATCTTGAAAATAAGTAACGTTTCAGGAGGGGAGTGGGGGAAAAAACAAAAAAATAGATAAAATAGAAACAAGATTGATTAAAGAAAGTCTTGTTCATTTTCATGCAATTGAAAAAAAATAGTTTGTTTTGTTATTAAGTCTCCAAAACAAAGTTTGTAGACTTATTGGTTTTGCTCAGTTCTTATTAATATTATGTCACCCGATCGACAATGCTGGGTGACATATTGCTTTTCCCCCGTTTCTTTGTTCTATTATTGTTATTCCTAATATCATTTTTTTGTCCGCTTTATTTCTCAGAGCTTATGAAACCAATCTTTATGATTGTTTACCATAACGGGGACTATCATTTGTCGATGTGCAGTTAGACCTTGGAATTTTTTAATGGCCACCGTTACCATGGAAACCGCAAATAATGTGAAAATTTTTGTTTCGTTTTGATGACTAATTTGAGTATGCCTGAACTAAAAATTATGAAACTTATTTACGTAGGTGTCCACTATATACAGGTTTAAAGTGATTTTGAGGATTTTCGGAACTACACAGCAGCGGTAATTTTCGAATTGTCTTAACATAGAACCCTATGGGGAAACACATAAGTCGCATATTTTTTAAGTTGAAAAGATAAATATAACAAAATTTTATACATGTGTTATCTTAAATGTATAGTTGAGAAAAAAGTTTTTAAAATTTACAAAATGGCAACCGTTGCCATGGAAAAAGCAAAATTTCAAAATTCTCAAACTAAATGAAAATTTACAGAAATGTTAACAGGCATATGGAGATATGGCATTTGACTTAAAAATTTCAAAATATTACCGCGTTGTCATGGAAACTGAAAAAAATGATGTGAAAATATTTAAAATGCTTCAAACTTAATGAAACTTTTACAGAAATGTAGACTGGCATGTGAAGATTTGGCATTCGACTTTGGAATTTTCAAAATTGCTGTGCAACCGTGGCAATGGATGACCGGGTACCATGCCCTATTACTTGCAATGGCAATTCTAGTTATTTTCTTCTTCATTTTTCCTCTTCTGCCACTTTTAAATTTGAACTTGTCCGCACTCGTTCTCCAAAACCGCTAATCAGATTAACTTAGAGTTCCACTATATATTAGACTAAATTGGTCTAGTGGTGCAATCAGGGTTTTGTTTGTGCAATAGGGTTTATAAAGGGGTACTTAGAGGGGCCAAAAGAAAGGATGAGCTTACTATACAAACCTATGGGATTTTTTAAAATTTAATTTTCAAATGATTACAACTTGAGAACAGTTAGTGATAGACACATGGGGTCTTCAGTAACGACAATGGGAACATATAGCCTACTGAAAGGTCAAAGGTCAATGGTCAATTATGACCTTTGACCTTGAACTTTTTTTCAATTCAATTTATTCAATAGGGAGAGTCCCTAGGGGATTATACTTATGGAGACACTACAGATTACCCCCTCCCCTTGTTAAAGTAAATAGAACAAAACTTGAACTGTAAAAAATGTTCAGTACACAAATTTCGAAAATCCTGAACAAAAAACTGTTAACTGCCTTACCTTTTGGAACTATAGAGATAAACTATACAAACTAAGATAAGCGACTGCCAACATCCATCAGAAATATCTGCATCGTTTTTTTTTTTTCTTCGTAAATTTTACAAAACTAATTTAAAATGTGAAAAAAACTATATCAAGTGAAAAACTACCCATAAGATGTATGCAGACCTAATCGGTAACTTCTTAAATTGAAGATCCATTTTTTTTTTATTTATAGTCAAAAGTTTGTATATATCATTGATAAACCTACATCAAGAATACATATTGATTTGAAAAATGGATTTTTAAGATTTTTTTTTCTTAAAATATGTTGAAGTCAAAAAGACAATAGTCTATTAAAAAACGTTATTCATTAAATAGTTAATAAAAGAGTTAATATAGGTCTGCTTAAATGTGATGAAAACAGACAGATAGTTAAGTGTGGACGGCGAGAAGTGTATCATTTGAAAACGTGTATTGCATTTGTAACTATTTGCTTAATTTTTTAGAGTTGTACATATTTTTTGTAAATTTTAGGTTTATCATGTTAATTGTTAACTTATATTTTATAATAGTAAAGCAAAATATTTGATTATGTGTTGAATCAATTGAAAACATGTGTTGTACATGTATGTGAAAATAACTAGCATGTTAAAAATATATGATATAATTATAGTTATTACGCATACTGTAACGTTTTATTTCTTGAAACAAAACGTCAAATTATCGCGACAACGAACCTAAGCAAATTGTATAAATAATGAAAGAATTCCAAAATCGATTCTGTAAAATAGCAAAATAATCCGTCATGAAATATGTTCTATCTTCTACGTATACTCTCATGGTTAACAGAACAGACCAATAGTATTTAAGTGTTTGTCTATGCAAAAAAAAAAAAAACAAACAAAACAAAACAAAAAAAAAAAAAGCAAAACAAAATAAAACAAAAAAACATAAATTATGTTCCTTAGAATGAATTTTTGATCTACGGTAAAAATGAAACACGTCTATTTTGTTTCATTGCTTTTACAGTTAAGAAAACACAAATAGTTCATGTCACTACGAGGAAATCATGCCTATTTATAGATCGTGTGGTCGTGCGGTACATAAACTGCCATGTGTTGCTCAATAGCATGATTTTTGTGTAAGAAACATTTCCAGCATCGACAACTCTTTTATCATACATATACATGTATAGTTTTAAAAAATAACTTTGTTTAACAATGTTACAAGCTAAGAAACTAATGGTTTGGGAAGAAAATGGTTTAAAGGTGATGTGTGTTCTATCTACAAAAAACGAGAATAGAGATAAGGTTTAAGAACTATATAAAAAAAAACTATTTAACCTGTTATTTGTCCATTGTTAAAAAATTTTGCATAATTTATATTTTAAAGTTTGTGATTAGGTCAATTCATAGATTGAAGTATCAGAGTTATGCTTCGAAAGGTTTTTCATGTTTTTTCTTATGATTATTTTAAAATTATACAGCCTCGCCTTCAGAGTACGTAAGTAAGTCTTATTTTGGCTTTTGTCATAAATTCTACTTAGATTTCCTTTCTTGTACTGTATTCGTTATGTCTATCCTTTCATGTTTCCAAGTGCACAGATAGTAAGTATACCGTGTTGCTATGTTATTTCAAAATTTGCATTATACTACTAAAATTTAACAAAGACAAGACATATCTCTGTGTCGACAGTTTTTGGCCAAATCTGTAATATTTTTTAATCACACATGGGACAGTTAAACTACTGTTGTTGAGATCTCAACTCTCCGCTTTTTAATCTCAACGAGTTGTGGCCTTGGGCTGTTTTCTGCTCTTTGGAAGGTTGTTGTCTCTTTGACGCATTCCCCGTTTCCATTTTCAATTTCATTTTCAAAAGGCACATAAAAGAACATACAATAAAAATGGACAGGGGAAAAAATCTTTGAACACTACCATAACGGTACAGTAATAGTTGTTTGTGTTGACTTTTGTTTTCGTTTCGTTTCGTTTCGATTTGTTTTGTTTATTTGTTTTTGATTTTTTTCATTTATTGGCCGAGCTCTCATATATGTTATCTGATAAGCTACTGTCATTGATAACTGACCGATACATTTTATATCCCATAATTTCTTTTCTTTTCAAGAGTTTTTAGGAACGATAAAGGACATTGAAAAATACTCTCATCGAAAACATCAGAATCAACAGTTCAACTTCGATTTAGAAATGAAGAGAGTGTCTCCTGTTAACATCTCTAAATTGGATCCTTCTAATGATTGGAAAATGGCTTTAATGGAAATAGCTACGTAAGTAAGATCTGTCCGATCCCTGTTTAAAAAAAGCCCCAAGTTTCATTTACAACTAAATTGTTTTACATCTTTGAAAATTAAGTTAGATATTATCAATGTCATTATGAGGGAAGTGAATACTGTCTATCTTCATTTTAACGGTTAATTGTTATCCTAGAAAAACTACTGTAACATACAATGTCTGTAAGCCTTAAAAAAGTTTTATTTGTGGATTTGACAAAAGCAGTCCGTACTGATCTTAATAGAAAGAGACAAATAAAAAAAGGGCAAATATTCCTTAACGGTAAATACTTCTGATGACACGCTTAAATTTTGAGTTACATTGGAAGACTACAAACGCCAGCATGAATTGCATTAATCTTTCATAGGTTTTGTCGGGTATATCTTGCCCGCATGAGGATGGTCGTTGTGTAAATGAAAACAAGCTAAATTCACGACAGACTACTTTTTCTCCATGGTAATAGTGTGTTTACTTTCGCTATCTGCGATTTTGTCTGGATTATAATTTACTCAATCAATCATCAAGGAGGTATACGGAAACGATCTAGTGTCCAATGGGCAACGTTATCCAACGACGCGAAGGAAGTCATAGTTAGTAAAACGTCAAATTCCCCAGAGCGAAGTCTCGTTTTAGTCCGCGTTTCAGATTATGACGATGAACAACAAAATAAGCCACACAAAGAGAAATTGAACCATACAAGAATAATATCAGCAACATGTAAGAATTGGATATCGCTTGAATTCAATTCTCGTTATCTTATTTCAATATAACGTTCAACGCTCCGAAGGCGCCTTTTTAGGTATAATAGAACAATTCTCACTCGTTACTACGAATTTAAAGTACTCTATATTATAAAAGATCAATTGGAAAAAGCATTTAAAAAAAACATATGCTACAACTTGTCCTTTTATTAACAAACAATAATTGCATAAATTCATATTACAACACACTTTATCAAAAACAAGATAAACGAACATTATTTATTGACATGATCCAATCAGCAGTTATACGGCTAAATCGTCAGGTACAATGCCGATGCCTGTTGATATGCACACAGTTTCTCCTTGGATTGATACAGAAAAAAATCGTAATGTTACAAAAACAATACACAAACCATGTAAGTGGCGACTCACTGTTTTTTTTTTTTTTTTGGTTTGACAACTGATACCTTTTTTGAATATACATTTTAGAGATTTGAAAGTAAAAGGATTCGAATACAACAGTTGCAAGAACCAGACATGGAGAGGAAATTGGTTGGACTGTAATACTTTCCCATTTGTAGTGAAGAAACCATGCTTGGTATATTCGTTTGGGTGAGCCGTTGATTTACAATATATACATAAATAAGGTGTCACGTATGCGGTAATGATAAAGCAATGAAAGTCAACTACACAAAACAAATCAATGTCAAAAATAGATCTTTGATAAGTTCTCAATTGCTCCGGATCTTGACAATCCGAAAATATCAGAAAAATACAAAATATCGACAAAGATCTGCCTTCAACATCCGAAAGGACAAAAACACATACGATATACATACTCTGACGTATGAAGGCATGTAGCATGCAATATAACTAATGAAGTATTCAGCCCTCTCCTTCTTTTATCTAACTCAGTAGGAAGAAGATAAAATTGAATCAATTCATAAAAAAGTGTTGGTTCTGTTCAAGTATGAAATTTCTGCGTTAGGAAGTGTGTATTCATTTGAACAATACCTTGAAATATTGACAAGAACATGACATAAATTGCTTAAGAACAGTTGTTTTATCTTTTCTTCACTATAAAATGTGAATTTTTTTTACACTTAAAGTAAAACTAGAATCAAAGAAGTTTATTGGAAGAGGGACAAATCTTTGATCACCTTTTAGCGATAGCAACTGGAAGATACAAGGAAATTCATCGAGATTTAAGAGTTGTAAGGCCGGGATTCCTTGAAATACTTAAATTAGGTCTTCCCACTTTTCCGTGTCCTGATTATGTTCCGATTTTCTATTTCTCTTCCGTCAATTTTGTCTTTAGTGCTGTTTGGTTGTTTCACGAGATGTCGCTTAGATATTTGGTATATAATATCGAATAGTTTATACGCTTTTGAAACTGACACCACTTAATCGAACACTTTCTATTGTAAGAGTTAATCTCTCCGAATACTGTCATTCTTGTGCGCACTACTTCTTCACAACCTTAAAAGATTACGACAAAATTATTTTCCCCAATTTCTCTTTATATCCTCAGGATGTCGAGAATAATTTTGATCGAAGAGATCTGGATATTCCATATGAGAGTTATTTCCCTTTATGTATTCGGCATACGTGAAAAAGAAAGTAACTCATAAACCATAAGTGATATAGACCTAGACTCTTTTGATTTGAGGTCCTTGGTCCAGCAACAAGAAAATTAGATCAAATGTTAAGATCGTGTTTTAAGATTTTGCTTTTGCTTGTGCATGCTACTCCTAAGACGCTGAAATATATATCGACAAAAATATTTCACTTTTGTTAGTTGTCAGCGACATGTCGAAACAGGGAATATTGTCCGAAATGGGTACGGTGACATTTCATAGCAGTTGTCTCCCCTGAAATGTTCGAAATAAGATGTGTGGTAATATAGCTTATTAAAAATAGATAGTAGAGACCTATGCTCTTTTGATATGAGGTCCTTGCTTTGTGACATTGCAATCAATGTTCAGGTCAAAGATAAATTTAACGTTCTAGATCTCGACCTTTGCAATAATTTCATATTTAAACATGATAAAGCCATCGGTTCTTTTGCATTAGGTTGGAAGACATATGACCTTAAAATCGGCAGTCGGAAGTGACATTGTGTTAACAAGAAGTAGGCATTTGTTGCACTTATCGCATTAGAGTACCTAGAACCATATTTTTGGAACCGGTGTGAAATAACCTATCATATGAAACCTGAAGTAGCAACTTATCATCCTTATTTCAAGCAAACGTATATAGAAACCATATATTTTTAGAATCAGCCTAAAGTGTGCTATTATCTGACACCGAAAATGACATTTTAAACCGGTAGTTAATATTGTCCTATCATAATATGTGCATTTGGGTTGGAAAGACTTTCAATTGTTCTCTGAACAATTGGTTTCTAATTATGTTTCCATTAGTTGGCTCATGTTTGTCTAAGCTTTTGACCCATATGGGCAATTTAAGTATTGTGATCAGATCCTTAAATCAGCCTTTTCATGTTAATGGGTATGTTTTTACAGAACGTTCATTTCAACTACATTTTCCCGCACTGTAATTATTATATATGACTTTTCAGCATAAATTATAATTTCCTATTTGATGATGCAATGGCTGAGCTTGGTTGTGAAGTTCACTCATTTGATCCAAGGTAGGTAACACGATGTGCACATTGCCAATGATGTTTAACTTTAAAGTAACATTAATATGTATGTCTGTTTTTATAGTTCACCTACTCAAATTTAAGTGTGAGCTGGTACCATAACTTGTCGTCCGTCCTTATGTAACTTTAAACATATTTTATTATAATTTTTTGTAAAAATACTTCGCCAAATAACACTTAACTTGTCAATGATTAAATGTTTTGGGCGGTTTATTATATATGAATTAAGGTACGCATGCAATATGATAATAGTGATATTAGTACTGTATTATGCGCTCAGAAGTAGCTGTTTATTAGTTTAGAGTACACCTCCATTTTGTAATTCTCATAATAAGCTCATACTTTTGTGTATCGTATCATGGGGGATTTGAAGTATCAAATTAATTTCGAAAATTTGTAATAGTTTACACATAAATGCCAAAAATGCCAGAGTAGCGGTTATGTTACTACGCAAGACTGAGAAGGTAACAATAGGAAAAACTGAAATAAAACTGGAATGACTGTTAGTTTTCTATTAAGGTCAATTTAAAGAACAAATTCTAGGGTAATATTTGAAACAAATCGTCTTTGATTTATATTTGCCCTACTTGTAAAAGCTGATTGATGGATTGATTGATGTTTAACGTCTATTGGCAAATATGAAATGCATGTCAGTACAAAAACACATTAATATAATAAGAATACAGGCTCTGCTTCAATTAGACACGATGAGCAGACTATTTAACGTGCTACACATGTAGCTCATAAGGTAACAGTCATCAGAAAAACATGTCACTCTACTCAGACACATAATTCTGACTCCTAGCCGACCAGCCTTTGTTCTTACTTCTACACGTCACATGCTTAACGGAGAGCCAGGAAATATCTATAGATGCGGTTTGACCCATTTGAGCATCGAACCCACGGCATCTAGCACTGGAGGCGAGCCCGTTACCACGAAATCAATTAGGCGAATCTGACATATACGAAAGTGTTAAATGTGCTTAGTGAAATGATGAATAGTAAATTAAAGGTCATTATCAATAACCATATATGAAAGTGAAAGTGATTTGTTTTGTCCTTTGGTAGGTTGTAATGAATTCTGTAATATGCAAATAAAAACAAGTAGACTTGTACATGTTGTAGGTAACATACACCCTTCAAAATACTGTTTGCTGAAAATATTTATCCGCCACCTTCAAGTAATATGTTTCGACAAACATTTTGATATTATCTGCTGTTTACTTTTTGTTGCTGTTGTAACATTTCGTATGAAGAAAAAATAAATCATGAGATGAAAATTGGCATCTACCATCTTCAAAGTATAAAATATCCAATATTATTAAGTGTTTAAGCTAAAGATATAGATAACATTATAAAGTGTAAACTATGCCTATAAATCTATACTATAAATTATTTCTCTTGCATTTGAGAGTTTTATTTGCCAAGATGGCACCACCCCAAACACATGAAACAATTATATTTTTTTAGGGTGAAAAAGTCTTCGTTTATAAACAAAATCAAGAGAAATGCAATTTGAATATTTTGTTTTAACGAAAATGGAATACTAGATAATTTGCATACTTTTTTCTTGATTTGATTTTTTGTGTACATTTAATTTTTTTTTAGATAATACTTATTTTCAATTGAACAAATGAGAAGTGTTGCCTCACGTTTAAAAGGTCTGGACACGACACTTCATTAGATGCACATAATTATGTTATGTCTTAGGGAGATATGAAAATATGTATACCCAAGGTCCATGAAAAGTCATATCCCTCGGGTAATGTCATCTAGAGCTAATGATTTTTCGAATCAACAAATCAGACATCAGTTGGGTAAACAAGATATTTAGACGAATGAGAAAAAAATTGTCAAACAACTCGTGAAAGGAGTTATTGCTCCTTAATGAAAATTTTAAATCTTTTTGTCTCATTTTCGCTTATTATCTTGAAAACTATCATAGACAGAGAAAAACTTTAATAGCAAAAAAGATCAACAGAACAAGATCTACAAATATGTCAACATGGCCAAAATTGTGAGACGACTACTTATAGGAGTGGTTGCCCTTTATTAATGATTTTAACCCATTTTGCATTTTGGACGAAAACTATACTAGATATAGAAAAAACTGAAAACAGTAAAAATGATCGCAAGATAAGATCTACAAATACATTTGTAGGTCAACATAGCCGAAATTGTCAGTTGACTCCTTATAAAAGTTATTGCCCTTATATGACGATGATTACCCTTTTTGACGTTTTGGACAAAAGCTATAGAAGATAAAGAGAAACTGTAAACAGCAAAAAATATCAGCAAGACAATATCTACAAATAAGTCATAAGTCTGAGTCCATTTCTTCCGGGCTTTATTTCCCTATAATGACGATTTTTACCAACTATTTGTGCTTTGGGAAAAAAACTAAGGTAGATAAAGAAAAGCTGTTTCGGAAAAATGATCAGAATTACTAGGTCAACAAAATAGAGATTTAAATACGAATCAATTCTAGTCTACATTTGTACAATGCTCGAGGATGGTCATTGAGGAAGATGCACATACTAGTATATATATACAGGTGACCCTCTCGATTTGCATGCATTTGGAAATATTTTGAATATAGGAATTATTTTCTCAGCTTATCCACATTCTTCAAATCACTTGTTCAGGTTTAAAATCAAAGATGATCTTTAAATTTTTAAAAGAAATAAAATTATATTTGTATTTAATTTTGTGTTTGGTCTATTTGCGATGTGCTGTATGGCATTTGATAAAAATTAACAGATTTAAATTTCTTTTCAAGCATGGGAAACACCATGGAACATGTCCGACCTAATGGAGTCCATTTCCATCCCATTGGTATTGGAGGAAGTACTAACGATCTATTTTCTCCAAGAAATGACCGGTATACGAAAAAAAATCCAAAACAGGTGTGGAAAGTAAGAACACTACGTCAAATAATGGAATCTTTAGGTCATCAGGATGTAAGTAATTTTACAGTGTTACTTGTCCTGTTTTAGTTCATTGCCAACGAAATGTGTTCTATAGCTGTTTGCTTTTGCCATTGGTCGTCAATTCGCTTTCTTTGTTAATCATCTGATAAAACTGTTGTTCCAATGTGGACATCATTTTGTTTTAAATATGTACTACTTTCCAGTATGTTATTTTTTGACCGGGCCCGATTTGTTGGTGTTACATCTGACAAAGTCTATCCAAAGAATTCCGCTCAAGCCGATGCTAAGGGTCGTCTTAAACTTGCAGTGAGTTTTCGTGCTCCGTGTTGAAGACCTCATTGTGAGATGAAGAACAGCAATAAAAGCGCCTTTCCCTTGCTTTTTGTGTGTTTTTTCGTTGTGCATGTACTGATTTTGTATCATGGGTGGATACCCCATATCATTTGTTTTTCTATCACTTTATCTTATTATATAATTTGAAAAAGCGGTTTGAAATTTAAATTTTGATAAGTAGATTTAAAGGTAAAACTTTAAGACTTTTCTTTTCAAATAACCATATATTTATGTTTTCCGCGACTCTCAGGTTTAAGCTTTTGTAAACTAACTAACAGCTGACCAAAGCTCATGAAAATTAACAATACGCTTGACTGTGTCTTTTTAATAATGCAATAACTACAGTTATTTTGATGTCAAGGCTCCCTAACACTGTTGTTTTGATGTTCAGGCTGCCTAACACTGTTGTTTTGATGTCAAGACTCCCTAACACTGTTGTTTTTCTTAGATTTTTATATAACCATAAACTAAAAGTTTATTTTTCTTTGAAAAATAATGCCACATATTAAAGGTCCTTATCGCTCAGTGTCCGTTGTTATTGCACAGTGTGGGGAGTCTCAAAATGGAATTTTGGGTACAAACTTGCGGCTGGGATTAAAAAAAATACTCTTTCAGATATTGAAGTCTTGTGAAAATCGCAATCCATAAATATATTGCATGGCAAAATCATAACCCATTCATATATTTCTCAATTGCCACATACACTTTTGTGTCTTTTAAGTACCGAACGTGACCTATTCCCGAATATGACTGTTTTGCCGAGTGTGAATTTGCATTGCTGTACGACGTGTCTCGGTATTTATACATCCAACATTCATGGATTTATTTATGATGTTTCTGAAGTGGTTTCGGTTAGATATTGGGTTATGTCTTATCGTTTGTGGTTTGAATTCTGTATTTTCGGTACATTTCACATATGTCTTATTTGTCATTATAGTCGAGTTATTTTCCATTTTCCATGGATAAAGTATTGTGTTAGTCCAAATAATTATGACGTCGTCACAGCGTTTCTTTAAAATAGCCTTTCAATACCGTCATATTCATGATAATTGTTTAGACTAGTATTATGAAAATAATTGTATGAATTTCAATATTATATATTCGTTACAAAAATACGTCACTGTTTGTGATGTCCTGTTCTGTCATTAATGGAAGATGTTCGTTGTTATTCTGCGGTTTACATGTTGTAACCACTATTATAATATTTATTTGTGCGTTTCTCTGTGCTGAGTGTTCTTGTGTTTGTTTGTGCTGTATTTCTGTCACGTAGTGTTGTCATTTTAGCGATGTTTTTAACAGTGTCATATAAGCGGGAGGTTTGGTTAGCCGTAAAACCAGGTTCAACCCATCATTTTTTTCTTAAAATGTCCTATACCAAATCAGGAATATGGCAGTTGTTATCAAATAGTTCGTTTCTATGTATATTGGCGTTTGTTTTTGTTGCACTTCAGTGTTTCTGTTGTTCCGTTGTTTTCCTCTTATAGCTGATGTGTTTCCCTCGGTTTTAGTTTGTAACCCGGATTTGTTTTCTCTTAATCGATTTGTGACTTTTGAACATCGGTATACTACTGTTGCCTTTATTTGACACCCTAACTTATTTAAATAGGATAAAGCTGCATATATACAAATATCTGATTAAAAAGTGAATATAATTGACCCTTTGACATAGTCATCGTTTATTCGGAATTAGGTAGCGAAATCTGATTGTTTTTTTGTAGAAATGTTTGCTTGCAGTTGCAGAGTTTCTGTGGGTTGAAACTAACCATTTCTTAGATAACTTTTCATTTATTTCAATTATTGTGACATGTGCCACATAATTAAACACACTTGCAACTTAACTTATTTCAGTTCATATCTTACTGTTGCAATGAATCACATGTAAAAACACTTGATGGTATTAGTATAGTGACTTAAAAAAGTTATTCGTAATTGTTGATAGGGTATTGAATGTCATGTATATACATGTATTGTGTAAACAACTTGTGATCTAAATCATATCAAAAATGATATGCATCACTATTTGTGATATTTATACTTACAAAAATCATAGACGGATTCCAATACAGAAGTAGCATTAGTATGATTTGCCAATATCTGGGATTGCAAATAGTATTGACTTAATACTTAAGTTAGTTTACGTATGATATCTCCAATACAGAACTGACGTACTTAAATACTTAGATAAAAGTACACATGTTTTATAACCGGTGAAACAATTTTTCACATAACATACACTAACTACTGTACGAAACTGATCTCAACAAACATCTTATATATCAAATGTCATAGATAGAGGTTTTGATAACTTATAAACCTAAAAAAACGTTAAAGATGTGAAACACAAGATTAAAAGATGCAATACTCTGTCAGATAACTTTAGAAAAAAGAAATTCCACTTATACAGGTAACTAAATATAACTAACTTATAGTTGTAAGTCTTAACAGAGCTATCAATATTGGAAAGAGAGGCTTACATAGCGGAGTAAAAAAAAAAAAATCTTGCAAAAACAAGACTCTTAAATAGGGACACTTTTGAGAAGGAACCCTTGCTAAGTATGTCATACAACTTAGCTAAAAAAAATCCCGAAACACTGTTACTTAAATAAATATGTCTTCTAGTTAATAGGCTATTAGTCTTTACGACTCTATAAAAACGGTGCCAAGTCTTGAGGTTTTACTATGTTTGTAATGGGAATCTATGCATTTGTGGCAAGTTTTACCCAAATGTTTTAAAGTCAGATAATTTTTATAATAGTGTTGTATAAAAGAATACAACGAACCTTTATGCATGACTCGCTTCGAACAATCAATACAATTCTGTATTACTAATCCTACACTGGTTTGATTCACTATGAAAACATGGAAAAGAATTGAGCTCCGGAGTCTAAATAATTGATATAGTTAAAATGCAAAACCCTTCCCATGAAAAACTGAAATCTACAGGAATACAGACTAGCGGTACTGACAGTTTAGGGATAACGGAAGTATATGTTACCGCCATACGCAATTTCCTTACATTTTCTGAATTAAATACGTTTTATAATAAAAATCAGGGCATGAAAGTTATGTATGATGGAAAACACTTTATTATTCTGCTTTAGAAATTAAAGTAAGATTAAGACAGAACCATTTTCCTTTTACGCCGTCATTTTATATCACATTAAGGACGCAATTTCGAAGAATATAGAACAATTTATGTGTTTCAAAAGGTTTACTGTTAATATGCATACTGCAGTTTTTCATAGATAAACACCAAACTATATATTATATTCAGACATACAATAAAAGCACTTCAAAGTGGACTTCATTCACTTGAGAAGGATACAAAAAAAGGGAAATTTTATGTAAGGTAAATGAAATACTACTATTTTCCGTTACAAGAACTGCATGCATACTATTGAAAAATTGTATAATTTAACGCTATAAAGAAACGACTCGACACAACTGTATTGTTATGTCTCTTGGTTAGATTATATTGAAAACTTGACAGAATTATATAATGCTATGCTTACTTTATTTGCATTTCAGAAATACTTTGATATTTTGAAGATGGATATAGAATATTATGAATGGGAGGCTCTTGAAAGTATCTTAAAGGACAATCTTACGGCAAGAATTCGTCAGCTTGATATCGAGTTCCATATTTTCCCGGACACATCAAATACAAAAATTGCAAACTTTCTAAAGATTTATCAGACTTTTAAAGAGGCCGGATTCAGACGATATGCTAGCAAAATGAACTATTATAAAACTAACGAAAAACGAATACAGACAGATTGTGAATATGTGAATTTAAAATTTGACTTCAATAAGTATCAAGTACTTTGAGGGGAATTGTTTGAGGTTTTATATTTAATTTGAGAAAAATGGGATATATATTTTTAATACAAATGTATGATACTGATGTTGACGACATCGCATTTCTGGAAAGACTTTTCGCAGAAAAGTTCGAAATCAAAAACTTCAAATCTATTTTAGCTAAAATAACTCTCTTTTGTGATGACTTCGATAACCACACAAGCAAAATCTTCCTCTCGAATATTTCCCCACTGAAATCAGTATGAAAGTATTAGTATTACTTCCTATATTTTAGTCGTAATATCTTTTTATGCATTTGTACATATAAACAACTGTACCATATCCACTGACATCTGTGGTCATCCAGATAGTATTTCTTTCTACTTATAACAATAGAAAAATTGAACCTGTATATGATGAAAGTAATATTATGGATTAATAATTTCTATGTCATTTTGTTTTATTTTTAACTTCAAAACATCAATTTTGATAATTGTGAATATATGCTTATTATATTGAATATCCTGATTTGACATCTTACTATATCTCTCTGTTCCATCAATCATGTACATGTATTTATGGTCAGGAAATGATTGTCGACGAAAACCACATTCTCTGAATATGTTCTTAGGATAAGAACTTCAATGAATATATTAGGAAAACAAAACACAACAGAAAATTTCGTTGAAAATGAATGAGCTCGGCCTACAACCTTGGTTGATATTGACTTTTAAAATATCTATCAGCTTCTTAAAAATCCCATATTGCAAATTCCTATTAGTTTTGCCCATGGATTCAGAGTAATATACATCATACAAGAGTGTAAAGACTGTATGTCTAGCTCCCAACCTACGGAAAAGGAGAGTAAATTAAACATGGCAAAAAGTATTTGCTCAAAAGTCGATTCAAAAATAATAAATCTTTTATGCATACATGAATATAAACCACAAACATACAACGTTTTACAATGTTTCAGTTCATAAATGATGTGCTAAAGTGAAAGTTGAAACTGCCCTGGTAAATTTGACTGAACGGTTTGGACTATTCTCTTTAGATCCGTTTGATATTGCACCCCCAAAACTGATTTATATTTTGACTTCATAAACCTGAGGTCACACGCGTACGTGATGAAGGTTACATACAGAAACACATGTTGCGGGCACAGAAATCATACGTGTTGTACTGGCACTGGGTTGGATGCACTGGTGATGGACTATAAGTCCCTGAGAGCACTATTTGGTCGGTACCTATTGCTTCGAGATTGGTATTATTGACATAAAACATTTTGTTTTTATGTAATTCTGCTATACTAAGGCGGCGACACTCTTAAGGTAATGGTAATTGTTTTACCCTTTTTAGCTTTTTTCTTTTGATCCTTTTTGCTTTTAGATTAAATATCGAAAAAGTTTTATATTTGCGTCGTTTAAAATTTTTGTTCATGAACTTACAAGATTAAGTTTTTTTTCCAGAAATTTATGCATACACAGGTATGTGTTGTGCGTGTATACGTGTTGTGCGAACGGAATCATATCATGTGTAAAAACTTGAGTACACGATCGTTTAAACTGTAGCTTCCTGAAAAGGTTCAGTTGTGCTACCTTTGTTACGTGATTATTTTAAACTCACTCACTTGTTTCATTACTATGATAATATCTACGACTTTTAATTAACGACACAGATAAACTGAAAACAAAAAACATCTAGAGGTCAACATACGATCTTTGACAAAAGATAGGTGGTTGTGTTTGGTGTTTTTTGTTTAACTTTAAATCAATGAAATTTGAAGAAAAGATTCTTACATCAAAGATTACTTTTGTTATCAATTCCAAAAACATTGACATGTGCCGGCAGTAGAGCAGTATTTCCATACCCTTGTTTGAGCACTTGATTTCACCTTAGGGTTTAAATTGGGTTAATATTGTTTAATCTTTAACTTTCCGTAAATACCATTAACGGTATCAATTTTACTGCACCAGATGCGCATTTTGACAACTAATACCTTCTGAGTTATGCTTGAGGCCAAAATATTGAAATGTCCAACCTAATACATACGTTAAATGGCTGATAACTCCGAAAAAGACTAAAAATTAAGTGATTTTTCCATGGTTATGTCTGTCTGTCTTTCTTTTGCTTGACTTGCTTTGAAAGCAACACTGGTATTTTCTGAATTTTCCCATTTGTATCTTTAATTTCTTCATAAAGGTACAAGTATAACATTAATACATGCTTATGTGTATGGTGCTAATGATATTATGATCATGTTATAGCGTTAAATTTGAGCCAACGATTATAAAATTAAAAATTCACAATCCAAGAGTTACACCATAGCAAATATTGTTTCATTTAATAAATATCATTTAATTACCTCAAATTTCATTTGAGAACCTTCCTATATTATATGTTGAGGTATCTCATGCACCGTTATTGACTGGTAGTCATGAGTTTCAGGCTGTGAATTTTCCAGGTCAACGTAAACTTTAGGAAAACTGTTATAAATTTCAATATGACGATATTTTGGACCTTTTGTTTCAAAAAGCTTTGAACCTCGCGGGGTTGAACGATATTGAGGTCCCCCGTAATAACATGGCCATAGGGATCATATCTAAAATTCGACGATTCACAGTCTCAAGTTAGAAGAGTATTATTTTCCACACTGACGCTTGGATTTTTGTATGTATACGAAATAATAGGTGGTTCTGTGATATTAAAATAGGGAGGTGTAAAGTTTTGAATGGTAAAGTCATTAAATATACTAGATAAGTTGATAAAATCAATACCTCTGTTAATATACTTAATTTTCAGAAATTAACGTTTATGATCTTCAGGTTTATCGATAGGCGAAAACAGCTTATGGTGACAAAAAGCTGTCAGTTTAATACTAAAATATATGATAAAAGAGATGATTTTTCATTTCCTATCGTTAATTATCCATTTTTAGATGGTGACGTTCCTTTGTCACCATCTTACGGTGTTTATATATCTCAACTTGTACGATTCGCTCGTGTATGTGACAATGTTTTAGATTTTAACGAGAGAAATTTATGTATTACTGAAAAACTATTACACCAGGGTTTTCGATATCACAAACTAGTCAAAACATTTACTAAATTTTATCATCGGTATAAGGACATCATTCGTAAATATAGCTCAACATGCAGACTTCTTATACGTTCAGGTATTTCACATCCAATTTTTTATGGAAATATTCTTTATAAAGCACAAAAATGTCAGTATTCACCTCTGAAGCTAACAAAACCTTTAAATAGACTTATTAAGAAGGGATATAGTTACGATACTGTTGTCAGGTCATTAAAGATTGCATATTTTGGCGTTAATATTGATTCACTTATAGGGTCTTTGCATCGGCACTAAACACATTTATTTAAAAACCAGTTGTTGGCATGACACGGGTTATGTTCTTCTCATATATGTTATGATGGTATGATACTAAACCCCTAACGGGAAGGATTGTGCCTGATATTCATATCAGTTTATTGAAGTCTGGAGCTGGCATGTCAGTTAACTGCTATTAGTCTGTTGTTATTTATGTATTATTGTCATTTTGTTTATTTTCTTTGGTTACATCTTCAGACATCAGACTCGGACTTCTCTTGAACTGAATTTTAATGTGCGTATTGTTATGCGTTTACTTTTCTACATTGGCTAGAGGTATAGGGGGAGGGTTGAGATCTCATAAACATGTTTAACCCCGCCGCATTTTTGCGCCTGTCCCAAGTCAGGAGCCTCTAGCCTTTGTTAGTCTTGTATTATTTTTAATTTTAGTTTCTTGTGTACAATTTGGAGTTTAGTATGGCGTTCATTATCACTGAACTAGTATATATATTTGTTAAGGGGCCAGCTGAAGGACGCCTCCGGGTGCGGGAATTTCTCGCTGCATTGAAGACCTGTTAGTGACCTTCTGCTGTTGTCTGTTCTATAGTCGGGTTGTTGTCTCTTTGACACATTCCCCATTTCCATTCTCAATTTTATCAGTATACGCATACTTTCAAAGAGTGGGCTGAAAAACGAGATTGTGTCACACTCCTTGAAATTAACATGTAATTTACTAATTCGTATTTGATTAAGTTTACATAATAGTTGATCCTACTATTGTTTTTAAATATAGATAGGAGATCATTAAGTGTATAATCTATACGATGTTTAATTCGTTGATTTCGATTGATACGTTTGCCATGCGACCTATTTTTGCGTTGTCTTTTATCAACAATATTCATGATACCAATAGAAAAAAGTTTTAGATATGTTCCCTTGTTCAAATATATTGTCATTTAGACCAAGGGGATATGCTGTCTGCAGTCGTTTAATCCAAGACAGTTCAATCATTTTACGGGAATCCTCAAATTGTCCCTTGTTGTTTTTGGATCGTTTCAAATGGTTGGAATTTTATAAATTTGATATTGTGATTAGTTTCCCAAATGTTGGTAAATTATACTTTTGAATTTCTTAGGTTTTCGAAAGCGGTATAGATGTTCCTGTGTTAGTCTAAAAAATGCACGTCCTGTTTGTCCTACATATTGTGTACCACACTTTGGCTTTGTTCAAGTAACCAGATAAATGAGGCTTTGAGTTTTTCATGTAATGTAACAGGAAAAGGAGAGCAAAAAAAAATCTCCCGTTTACTGTTGACCTTACAGTATTATGAGAAGATCATATAGAGTAGGTTAGTCATTTTCTGGCATTGCACGGGAATATTTATTGATATTCACAGTCTTTTTTATTTAATAATCCGGCTGCAGCGGCATTGCCACCTTTGAGACAACTGTGAAAAGAAATTTATATAAGGAATTCGGTTTTTGAGCACGTGAATATCCTTGAAGCTGTGGTGTATTTAGTTTTCTTGCCATTTTGTAATATCATAATTAATCAGAGGAGATTATGAGAAAATTAAATGAGGCCGAAAATCAAAACATTCAATAAGGATAACAATAACGGAGTATATAAACAATTTGTAAAAGCAGTCCAGGATTTCTTATAAAAACTATAATGAATAGCCTGACAGAATGATGTTAGTAAAACAAAACAGACATATAACAAACACTGGTCCGAAAAACAGTTATTACGTGGTGCATTTCTTTAAGACAATAAACGCAAATTAAAAAAAAAATCGGCTCTATTCAAAAAAAGATTTTTACAGTGTAGTGTAATACTATAGCGACCAATTATATCACAATTATAGAAAAGTATATCGGCTGAAACTAAACATATGGACGATTTTATGTAGAGTGGGTCCATAATTCATTTTGACCGTTCCAGACATACTAATTTTTGAACTCGATTCAATTCTCTACTGTTTTGATATACATTCATGTCAATTTTTTTGCCAGAAAACATTACAAAAAATCTTTGATAACCGTTATAATGTATTTGAAAGGCAAACTTTTGATAATATTTTCCATGCG